CTGACTGTAGGCCACTGAGCCGCCAAGAGGGAGCAGGCGGAGGGACAGCACCCTTTCCGCCCTGGGGTAGCCTGGTGCTGGTAACCTACTGTGGGGACTGGACGCATTTCTGCCAAAGGCTGCTGGTTCCAAGATTTGTTTCTGAGTCTCTAGGATCATGGCTGTTAAGCAGTTTGATCAGGAGCCAGAGAGGCCTTGCCTCCAATTATATAGCTGAGCCGGAGGTGTTTTGTGGGTGTGTCTCCCACATACCTAGCTTTTGGCCATTTACTTTGTTGGTAAACTTGGCCCCAAGTTGTTGGGGTCTGGCCAAAGGCACAGCAGCAATTTTGGGGTATCTAGAAGTGCATCAGGCTGCTGATGCACTCGCCTTACAGGTACAGATTGACCTGCTGGCGGCACCATACCCCAGTCTCCAGCTAGCTTTGCTTTTGTGCTGAAAGGCTCCCGACCCCCCACCCCCACCCCCCGGATGTCAGAGTGCCTGCTCAGCACTCTTGCACTGGCTTCTGTGGGAGACCCTGGGTCTGGCTTCTCCTGACAGGGAGGCTCAGGGTTTCCTTGGGAAGTGGAAGTTGTTTGAGAAACTGTGAAGCAAAGCACAAGATCATTTTCCATACTTATGTGTGTTTGCCTATGCTTATCTTTGAGAAAAATTGGAGGAGGAGAGATACTGCAGCAGATAGGATGGTTGCCTGGCCCCTGGCTGGGTTCAGCCCCCAGCATCCCCTGTGGCCCCCTCAGCATTGCTGGGTGTGGCTCCAAAACAAAAGCAACACAAATTTTGAAGCAGATTGCATCACTGTGTCACTGTCACTGTCATCCCATTGTTCGTCGATTTACTCAAGTGGGCACCAGTAATGTCTCTGTTCCTCCCAGCCCTGAGATTTTAGCAGCCTCTCCTTACTTGTCTTTCCCAATGATTGAAGGCTCTTTCGGGGTCAGGGGAATGAAACCTGTTGTTACTGTTTTTGGCATATTGAATACGCCATGGGTAGCTTGCCAGGCTCTGCCCATGCAGGCGGGATACTCTTGGTAGCTTGCCGGGCTCTTCGAGACATATAATATATATATATATATATTCCAAGATATATATATATATATGTTTCTCTCTATGATTTGTTGCCTGCTCTCTGAACCCCCATCAAATATGATGTGGTAATTATGGAAAATGGGTAGGAAGTGTCTTATGATGTGTCGTGCGGCCACTTCAGGGCCGTGTGATTCAGAAAGCGGCCTGGAGCGTGGCAGCAGTTGGGTAGTGGAGGTTGGTTGCTGGGGCACCCCGAGTGAAAACAGACTTGTGCGGATTCCGAAAGAAGATTGTACTATTTTTTATTTATTTATTTATTTTTATTTATTGCTTTTTGGGGGGGTCACACCGAGTGATGCACAGGGGTTACTCCTGGCTCTGCACTCAGGAATTACTCCTGGCGGTGCTCAGGGGACCATGGGATGCTGGGAATCGAACCCGGGTCAGCCGCGTGCAAGGCAAACGCCCTACCCGCTGTGCTATCGCTCCAGCCCCTGTACTATTTTTTAAAACTTATTTTTTGGTTTTGAAGCCACACCTGGCAGTGCCCAGGGCTTACTCCTAACTGTGCTCAGGGATTACTCAGAGACCATAGTTCCCCTGAGCACCATGCAGTGCAGTTTCATTTTGTAATTTGCAATTTGTAATACTCTATTGTGGTGGGTTTTCCCAGGGGTAGTCACGGCAATGGCAGTGGTGCTCTGGGTGTCCTTGGGATCTCGGACAGGTAAGACAGGCTCTGCTCCCCAGCCCCCACTTCCTCTGCACTCTACGGCTGGGTGCTGATTTATGATTTATTTTCCCGGTTGGGGGCTCCACCCGGCTGTACTTAGGGGTCCCTCCTCAGGCTCAGGGGACCCTCTGTGGTCCTGGCTCTCAGGTGCTGTGGGTCTAGTGAACTTCTCAGCTTTCACCCCAGGGTGGCAGTAACAGTCCTGCCCTGTGTGTAGAGTGGTGACTCTGAAGGTCACTGGCGCTCCCACGCTCTTTGCCAGTCACAGGTTAAACCCGTGTCAGTCTTCTGATAGGTGGAGCAGCGGCTCCCGTGTCCCCCAGCAGGCTGACAACTGGTGCAGGAGGCCCTGCAGTGTTGGCAGAGAAGGAGCGAATGAGTGCTGGAGTGACACATGGCACCCAGGACGTGTCTGCAGTGCCATTATCACCAGGACCCTCCTTCCTGGGAGCCTGGAGGCTTTAGTGGCCCTGCCTGGAGTCTGCTGTCCCCTCAGGGCCAGTCCCAAGTAGCGTCTGCTGCCTGGGGTGGCACCTCCATGTTCCTTTCAGAGCAGGCCGTGCGGGGGCAGGAGAGATCGCTCACGGTGTAGGGCTCGGCCCATGCAGTTGAGCCTGGTTCAATCCCCGGCACCACACATGCTCCTGCGAGCTCCTCCAGGTTGGCCTGAGTGAACAGAAATATCAAAGCAGCAGGATCCCTGAGAGCATGTCCTGCTGCTTCCCAACCCCCAATTCACACTGGAGGATCACTGGCCCGGGATCATTGGCATTGGGATCACTTTACATTGGGAATCACTCAGCCCGAATGATCACGGTACTGAGGATCACTCGGCACTGTGGGATCACTTGGCACTGGGGATCTCTCGAGACACTGGGGGATCACTATGTACTGGAAATCTCTCATACTGGGGGATCACTCGACACTGGGGAATCACTGTACTGGGGATTACTCGACACTAGATATCTCTCGACACTGGTGATCACACATCACTGGAGATCACTCAACACTGGGGATCACTTGGCACTGAGGGATCACTCTACTGGTGATCACTCAACACTAGGGGTCACTGGGCACTGGGGATTACTCGGCATTGGGGGATCACTATGTTGTGGGGTTTATGTAACACTAGGGATCTCGTTATTTGGGGATCACCGTGTACTGGGGATCACTCAGCGCTGGGGATTGCTATGTTCTGGAGATCTCTGGACATTGGGGGATCACCCAACACTGGGGATCAATCAGCACTGGGGATCACTCGACACTGAGGATTATTCGGCACTGGGGATCAATCGGTACTGGAGATCACTTGGCACTGGGGATCACTCGGTACTAGAAATCACTTGGGTATCACAAGCAGGTTGTGAGCCCAGACATATATAGGCATTGAGTTCCTATAATTGGGAACGATTTCCTGCATTGTTTTTATCTTGACCAGCTCTGAGATATATGTGTGGGGGTGTCTCCCAGGGGTGCCTCTGCAGAGATGCTCAGGGGAGCTCTGTGGAGAGCAGGGCCCCCTCCATGCCTGGGCATGTCAGTATGTTGATTGGAGACATGGGGCTTGTTCGTGTTGCTTGGTGTCCGGAGTCAGGTGTCCCTGTGGGCACAAGTCTATTCGTCGTCTCCTGTTGCTCTCTTTCTTTGGTCACAGTAAGGACTTTTAAAGCAATTCTTTTTTGGGGGAGGGGGATGTTGAGGGAGGGAGAGGAAGGGATTTGGAACCACTCTGGCAGTACTCAAGCCTCTCTTCTGGCTCTGTACTCAGGAATCATTCCTGGTGGTGGTCACCATTTGGGTTGCCAGGGATTGAATATGGTTTGGCTGCGTACAAGGCAAATACCCTCCCTGTTGTACTATTGCGCTGGCCCCAAATATTTAGATCTTGATGTCTTGGATGCCCAGTAAATAGAGTTGGCATGTATGCGTGTGTATGCATGTACCACATATATGTGTAAGTATGTGTGCATATGTGTTTGCTTGTGCATATATATGAGTGAGTGTGCACATGGGTAAGGCTTGTGCATGTTGAATATATCTGTGTCTGTGTGTATGTAAGTTTATGTGTATGTGTGAATGAGTGTATCCCTGGGTATGTTTGTGTGTTTGGTGTGTGCCTATATGTATATGTGTGAGGATGACCATGTATGATATGTGTAGAAGTGTGTATGTGTGTGTGTGTGTGTGTGTATGTGTGTGTGTGTGTCTGGAGTTGGCACTTTGGGGTACTGAGCAGATATCAGACCCTGTCACAGAGGTCAGTTGGCTATTTCTCCACAGGATACAGGAGCTGATCTCGTCTCTGACCAGGCCGGTGAGACAGTTGGCACCGTGTGTGGGCTATGGCCAGGGTTGCCGCTGTTTCCTCCTGTTCGGCTCTGCTTTGGTTTTTTGTCTTTGGACTGTGCCTGGTACTACTGAGAATCACTGTTGTGCTGCTGTGGGGACCCTGTGGTGTCAGGGATGGGTCTGCAACTCCTGCCTGTACAGTATGTGTGCCACCTACTGAGCTAACTCACCCTAGTGACGTGTGTTAAGTGGGTACCCAGGGCCCCAGATGGTCACTCATTTTCTCCAAGCCACTGACGTTTCCTTCCATGACACAAGAGTGGCCCAGAGAGGGTGGAATCCGTCTCCCATGGCACAGGCATGGTGGGGGGAGAATGGAATCCGCCTCCCGTGGCACAGGCGTGGTGTGGGGATCGTGGAATTCATCTTCCTGGCATAGGCGTGGCAAGTGAGAGGGTGAATCCACATGGTGAGCCGGGGAAGACGGGAGACATTACTGTGAACCTCTGTGTCTCCCTTTGCTCTGAGCTCATGTGCCTTCTCTGTCCAGGAGCTGTTCATGACTGTCCCCAGAGTGTCCCTCTTACCCCCTTCCTCACGTGTACCCCTCCATCCTGCTACCTGGGAGTCCTCTGCCTCTGGGCTCCTGCCTGGCCCGCGCTCTCCCACTGTCAGTGCCTCAGATGAGCACCCTGCCCAGCCCCTGCTGTGTTCGGCGTGCCCAGGAGTGAGCTATCCTGAGACTGCACTGGGTGACGGGAGTGACGTGGAGGAGTCTGTCCTTGTACTTAAAGCAGGGAGAGACGCAGACATGTACATCTTCTGTAGGTCACGTGGCCCCTGCAGGAGGAGCCACAGTGCCTGGGACCCTCCACGGGGTCCCAGCTGGCGGTGTCAGGGTGCAGCACCGAGAGCCCTGCTGAGATGAGTTGTGCTTCCCCTCAGGAAATGGCAGGCCGGGCACTCAAGCAGACAGGCAGCCGGAGCATCGAGGCCGCCCTGGAGTACATCAGCAAGATGAGCTACCTGGACCCCAGGAATGAGCAGATCGTGCGGGTCATCAAGCAGACCTCCCCAGGTGAGATGCAGCACCTGGAGCTCCTGCAGTGGGGATGTACTAGAGAAAGAGAGGAGAAAGAGAAAGAGAGGGAGAGAGAGCGAGAGCAAGAGAGGGAGAGTGAGAGAGCGAGAAAGAGCTAAAGAGAGAGAGACAGAAAGAGAGCGAGAGTATGGGGGAGAGAGAGGGAGGGAAGGAGGGAGAGTGAGAAAGAGCATAAGAGCGAGAGAGCGAGAGCGAGAGCGAGAGCGAGAGTGAGAGAGAGAGAGAGAGAGAGAGAGAGAGAGCGTGGTGTGCTGGAGGTGCCCCGGGCATGAGGCCCCGAGTCCTGTCCCGTCTTGCACCGCAGAGCCAAGTGTACCAGTTGCACCTCCAACCCCAGAGTCTGACCAGGGAGGTCCCTACAGGAGACACAGGGGACAGAACTGGCCAGAGAGAAGGCTGGGTCGGCACCTGCTGTGGACCGTGTGCCTGCCAGCACCCCAGGAGTGACCCCCAACTACAGAGCCAGGAGCAGTGCCCAGAAATAAACTGATGGATAGCAGGAATTGATTCTTAGAGAGCCAGAAGCTGAGGAGCATCAGCCATGCTTGCACGAAGGAGCTATGGGCCCAGGCCCAGGTCATCCTGTGGGTGGTACCTTGTCCTGCTCTCCTGGACAGATAGGAGCACGGTCCCACGCCCTCGCTAAAAACGACCGGGGTACTTCTTACCCGGGATCTCTGTGTGCTTGTTTGATCTTTGTGCACTTGTTCTGTTCGTGAAAGACTGAAAGCTTCCCTGATGTCAGCATGGCGCACCCGGCAGAGAGAAAGTGCCCTTTCTCACCGTCCATTCCTTGGGACTCTTCAGGGATCCTGGGAAGGGCTCTTGCTGTTGGTTTCTGAGCGGCGTTCTGGGGCATGGCTCTGAGCACCAGGCCCTATCCATGGCAGATGCTCTCAACTTGAGGTGCTGGAGAGGGCACGAGCCTCTCAAGTGCTCGTCCTGACTGTTGTGAATGTCCCTCTGTGTCCTTGCAGTGATGGGACCATGTGTGGCATCTGAGGAGTTCACGGTACATATTTAGGACAAAGGGGATTTCCCCCGTCTTGTAGGTAATTGTACATCAAACCTGCCTCATCTCCATGGCGAGCTAGCCACCAGCTTTACTCATGCTGTCAGGCTGCTCCGAGGAAGGAGAGTGGGCATCCACCACCCCATTCTAAGTCACCGAGGCCCCCAGGTCTTGGGTCCTTCCCAGCATCCCAGGGTTCCTCCCACTGTCCCTCCCAGCGTCCCGGACCTGCTCTTGAACCCAGGATCAGAGGTGCAGCCAGGTTGTGACATCGGGTGTGTGTCTGGCATTGATTGGGGTCTGCAGTGGTGGGAGTGCCCAGGAGCTGGGCCACGGGGCTCAGACACTGACAATTTCTTGTTCCCCTTGCAGGAAAGGGACCCGCGCCAAGCACCGTGCCTCCACGTGCCAGCTTCGAAGGGACTGGGGAGCCCTTCCCGGCCTTCCAGCACCTGAGTGCAGGCGTGTACGAGGGCCCCGGGCCCCTGGAGGAGGTGCCCCGGCAGTACGTGGACTTCGTCTTCACGGGAGTTAGCCCCCACCTGCCCAGTGCCCACCCGCACCCGCCCAAGGGCTACCCCGTGGGCATGGAGGCGGGCCTGGGCTTCCCTGTGAGCGGCCCCGGGGGCGCGGCCCTGCCCCTGCCGGGGCCCCTCTACCGGCCCCACGTGCCGCTGGCCTACGGCGTGCAGCGCAGCCCCTCCTTCCAGGGCAAAGCCCCCGAGACCCCCGGCTACGCCCTTCCGCTGGGCTCGGCCCATGGCTTCCCACCCGCGGCGCCCGCGGTAGGGATGTACGTGCCGCACCCGCAGCACCCGCACCACAAGCCGCACCCGCTGCACGTGGTGGGCTCCCGGGGCCCGGTCTTTGCCGGGGACAGCCCCCCGCAGAACTTGCTGGTACCCTCCAGGAACAGCCTCAACGTGGACCTGTACGAGCTGAGCGGCCCCCCCGGGCAGCAGTGGCCGGCTGCCACCCTGTCCCGCCGGGACTCGCTGCAGAAGCCTGTCCTGGAGGCGCCCCCTCGCCCGCACGCCAGCTTCCGGCCCGACGGGCCCGTGCCCAGCAGGACCAACTCCTTCAACAGCCACCAGCCGTCGGCGACTCCCGGGCGGGCGGCAGTGCCCAGCAAGGCGGAGCCGGCCCTGCCCTCTCCCAACACCATCACGGCCGTCACGGCCGCCCACATCCTGCACCCGGTCAAGAGCGTGCGCGTCCTGCGTCCCGAGCCCCAGACAGCGGTGGGCCCCTCGCACCCTGCCTGGGTGCCGGCGGCCGGGGTGGACGGCCTGGACCCCAAGGAGGAGCCCCCCGTGGCCCTGGGTGTGTCCAGCAGCTACTCGTTGGACTCCGAATTCAGCGGCCCTGGGCCCGAGATGCGGTGCCCGCCGCCGCCCTACCCCCGGCACCTGCTGCTGCAGGGCCCGTCGGAGCAGCGCGACGTGGACGACCTGTGTGTGAGCCTGGAGCAGGGCTTCCGAGGGGCCCAGGCCGCGGAGCCCGGCAGCGACAAGAGCCACAAGGGCGCCAAGGCGGACAAGGTGGGCAAAGACAAGAAGCAGATCCAGACGTCGCCGGTGCCCGTGCGCCGGAGCTGCAGGGACGAGGAGAAGCGCGAGTCGCGCATCAAGAGCTACTCCCCTTTTGCCTTCAAGTTCTTCATGGAGCAGCACGTGGAGAACGTCCTGAAGACCTACCAGCAGAAGGTCGGCCGCCGGCTGCAGCTGGAGCAAGAGATGGCCAAAGTAATTGCCCCTCACGCCCCTCCACGCCCTCAGCCGTGCACCGCCCGGGTCTCTCTCGAACACGTCCTCCCCTGGGTTCCTGGGTTGGCATCACCCGAGCATGGCCGGTCGTGATCCAGGCCACACCCTCAATCCTAACAGATGCCACAGGGTTACTAACCAGTCAAACTTGGGGGGCAAGCAGGGAGATAGTTTGGGCTCGTGGGGTTTGTGACGTTCTATCTATCCAACGGTGCACCATTGTTCTCACTCTCTGAGTGCGCAGTGTTGTTTCAGACCCGCTGAGGCAGGGCAGGTGGCTCAGGCATGGGCCGTTCCCCGCCTACACATATGGCACCTGGCGTCTGGCTTCCCTGCTCAGGTGACTCTCTACAAAACAGTTCCAAAAAGAAAGGAAAATGAATATAGCCTGGTTGATCTTAAACTGCTGAAAAAAAGTAATTATTAATGAGGTCGTTTAAAGTACTAGAGGGTTTTTTGTTTGGGGGCCATACCTCACAGTGCTCAGGGGTAATCCTGGCCAGGAGCTCAGGATCCCGCCTGGTAGGGGCTCAAGGGGTCTTGTGTGGTCCTGAAGATTAAACCTGGACTGGCCACATGCAGGACAAGTGCCTTTACCCCTGGACTGTTTCTCCAGCCCTATTACAGTCAATTAAATACATACAGCCAGTAATTTCAAATTCTAAAATCCGTTTATGCTGCTTTCCTGTTGTCATTGACTTTTTCCTGTTTTCTCTGAACTTCTCTGAGCTGGTAGTTTTAGATTAAGAACCCAAGGGGGGGCTGGAGCAATAACACAGTAGGTAGAACGTTTGCCTTGCACACAGCTGACCCAGGTTCGATTCCCAGCATCCCATATGGTCCCCCAAGCACCACCAGGAGTAATTCCTGAGTGCAGAGCCAGGAGGAACCCCTGTGCAATGCTGGGTGTGACCCAAAAAGAAAAAAAAGCGATAGATCAGTGAGAACTGTTGGGCAGGCACAGACCCTGGCACCTGCCCTCATACCCAGTGAGAAACAGGGACACTGCTGTTGGGGCCCCAGCTGAGCACCACGCATGCAGCCGCCAGAGAGCACTGCAGCCACTCGTGCAGACACAGCCAAGGTGTGAGACTACAGCCGAACATGCAGACACAGCCAGGATGTAGACACTGCAGTCACTTATGTAGACAGACACTGAAGTCATGTATGCAGTCCCTGCTTTGCTCATTGTAACAACAAATAGAACAGTGGGTAGAAGAAATGAAAATAAGTAAGTGATGAAGTATTATGTTGTTCTTAGAGAAATTTTCTGATTTCCATTTTCACAGGTTATTTCGCCCTTTCTTGATGTAGCATTGTTATGTAATGTTTTAGATCTATGATAGAGTTCAGTATCTATCAGTACTCTACATTCTGCTCAATAGCAAATGTCTTAGTTTTCATAAATTTTTGTGTGTTTTGGTTTGGCAGGCTACACTTGATATTTGCTGAGGACTTATTCCTGGTTCTGTGCTCAGGGATTATTCCAGGCAAGCCTTGGGCATTATATGTGATGCTCAAGATCAAATTGGGCTTGGTTGCGTGCAAGACCAGTGCTTTAATTTCATTCTATCTTTCTGGCCCCATGATTTGTTTTTTGGGGGAGAGGTCTTTTTGGTCTCACCAGACAATGCTCAGGGGTTACTCCCGGCTCTGCACTGAAAAATTACTCCTGGCAATGCTTGGGTGACCATATGGGACGCCAAGGATCGAACCTGGTTTGGCAGGTACAGTCAAACACCCTACCCGCTATACTATCATTCTGACCCCTGAGCCCACAAATTTTTATAAAAGAGGCTTTCCTTTCGATTTCAGGTCCAAAAATCATGTAAGGAAAGAACTTTTTTTTTTTTTGTCTTTGTCTTTTTGTCTTCTTTGGATTATGGATTTGTGTCTTGATAGAGACAAAGAACAGCCAGTTTCTGGGTGGCATTCTTTGTGTCGGAAGCGTGCTTCCATGTTCTCACGTGCCCAAGAGTGAAGGCGGGGCTCCCCACCCTGCTGTTTTCTGCCACAGGATCCCTGTCTCACTGTCCCTGTTCTCCTCCCCAGGCTGGCCTCTGCGAAGCGGAGCAGGAGCAAATGAGGAAGATCCTTTACCAGAAGGAGTCAAACTATAACAGGCTGAAGAGAGCCAAGATGGACAAGTCTATGTTTGTAAAGATCAAAACCCTGGGCATCGGGGCCTTTGGGGAAGTGTGTCTGGCCTGCAAGGTGGACACGCATGCCCTCTATGCCATGAAGACGCTACGCAAGAAGGACGTCCTCAACAGGAACCAGGTGGCCCACGTCAAGGCCGAGAGGGACATCCTGGCCGAGGCCGACAACGAGTGGGTGGTGAAGCTGTACTACTCCTTCCAGGACAAGGAGAGCCTCTACTTCGTGATGGACTACATCCCCGGGGGGGACATGATGAGCCTGCTCATCCGCATGGAGGTCTTCCCCGAGCACCTGGCCCGCTTCTACATTGCTGAGCTCACGCTGGCCATCGAGAGCGTCCACAAGATGGGCTTCATCCACCGCGACATCAAGCCAGACAACATCCTGATAGATCTCGATGGCCATATCAAACTGACTGATTTCGGCCTCTGCACTGGATTCAGGTGGACTCACAATTCCAAGTACTACCAGAAAGGTATTGTCTGAGCTGGCCAGCCTGAGCAGCACAGCTGGGGTTGTTAGTTAGAATCTGGGCCCTTGGCGCTGGCGCCGTCTCTGAAGAACCAATGCTTAGGCTGCCTCAGTGATCTTTGGGAAAAGCTGTCTTAGCCCTCCGTGGGACTGTCTCACAACTAATCTGAATTTTTCTCAGCTTCTGTGGCCACAGTTTTATAGTTTCATTCCCTGTCCTCTAGTTCTGATACTTGGGAAGGTTATTATCTTATTCTTAAATTAAGAATAATCCTTTAAAAGTATTTTTCATTGAATCACCATAAGATACACAATTACAAAATTGTTCATGATTGGGTTTCAGTCATACAGTCTTCCAACAGCCCTTCCTTTACCAGTGTACATTTCCCACCACTAGTGTTCCCAGTTTCCCTCCCCCCACCCACACCCCCAGCTTGCCCCTATGATAGATTCTTCTTTCTCTTTTTCCTCCGTCTTTCTTTTTGGCCATTGTGGCTTACAGTACAGGTACTGAAAGGATATCATGTATATCACTTCACCACCTTTCAGCACTTGGTTCTTGTCCGGAGGGATCTTTTTCACTCTCGTTGTCCTGGTGGTCCTTTCTCTGTCTTCACTGCCCTTCCCCACCCCCTTGAATTAGATTCTTGAAATAGTTTTTTTAGTGATGTATCTGAGGCTCCTTTTGTTCTTGTTTACTCTAGAGCCACACCCAGCAGTACTCAGGGCTTACTCCCGTACTCAGGCATCACTCCTGTCGGTACTTGGCACCATCTGGGGTGCTGGGGATCAAACCCAAGTCAGCGATCGCAGAGCAAGTGCCCTACCCACTGTTGTATCTCTCCCCACCCCCTTTTAAACTTCCTCTCTCTTGTTATTAACTGCATTCCTGTTTTATGACATGGAAGTAACTTTGTTGGTACTCTGGTGCTCTAGTGCTTCCCTCTGCCCTTGCCCAGTGCTGCTGATGGCCGTCTCCGCTCTGCCCTCGCTGCACCTGCTCTCTGCTCTCCAGGTCTCCCTCAGGCCACCCCTGGCCGGAGAAGGGACTTCGACCTGGGTCCCTTTCCCAGGCTGTTGCGTTGTTGAATCGTGACTCTGTCATTTGTTCCCACTCTTTTTGCGCCCTGACTTCGGGTGAAAGGCAGCCACATCAGACAAGACAGCATGGAGCCCAGTGACCTCTGGGACGACGTTTCCAATTGTCGCTGTGGGGACAGGCTGAAGACCCTGGAGCAGCGCGCGAGGAAGCATCAGCGGTGCCTGGCGCACTCCCTGGTCGGCACCCCCAACTACATTGCACCCGAAGTGCTGCTTCGGAAAGGTGGGAGAGTTTGGGGGCCAGAACGATAGTGCAGTAGGGAGGGTGTTTGTCTTGCACTCAGCCAATCTGGGTTCAATCCCCGGCATCCCATATGGTCTCCTGAGCCAGGATTAAGTCCTGACAACTGCCGGATATAGCCCAAAAGAGAAAAAAAAAAATCCAAACGCTGGATTTCCCCTCCGCAGCCCATGGCAGGTCCCACCAGCCTGCCCGGCATCTGAGGAGGTGAACCTTGCGCGTTGCCTCTGGACTTGGGAGTCAGGCTCCTTCCTGCATGTGCTTTCCCATGGTTTAGTGACTCTGAACCATGCAGGTCTCTCATCCTGCCCCTCTAGAAGCTCCTGGAGCTTGACCTGGGGGTGGCAGGAGGCATGTCTGTCCCTTTGTAGCCAGTGAACCACAAATGGCCCTGCTCACAGGTGGACCTCGGGCATGGTTACGTGGCCCAGCAGCCATGCTCATGGCTAAGTGGATGCTCTGGGATGAGCCACCAACAAGTGGTCTGTCTCCTGACCCGGAGCACACCTCATCCTCCCTCACAGTGGTGATGACCGGGAAGAAATTACTGTAGCGCTGGCCATCATGAGGCTTCTGAGAGGCTGCGGGCAGGGCTGGCCGGGTGAGGCCAGGGCTCGTGGGCCACGTGGGGGCAGGCTGGACTGGGCTAGGCTGTGCAGCCCCTCCCTGCCCATGGAGAGCAACTCTCAGGCACAGTCCCTCTGCAGAGTCCACTTTCCTCGTCCTCACCGTCCAGTGTCCCCTGCATGAGTCGGAAGGACCTGACCAAGTTCCCACAAGCATGCCTGTCCTCAGCCCCGTAGCTCAGTGCCAGGTGACTTAGCATCACACTGGGGGATGGCACCTGTCTTGCATGTGGGTGACGCAGTCTCCATCCCTGTTTCCCTCACGTTGGATGATGGTTTGTTTGATTGTGAATCACCAGTAATGCCCCAAGCCCTGGTGAGCACACTTGTAAGCCATCCCAATGGCCTTTATGTCATTTTACTGTTGCTATTGTTCCCGTTACTGGGTCACTCCCGGCTGAGCTTGGGTGACTGTGTAATGTCAGGGATGCACTGGGGCTTCCCTCAAGCAGTGGCCTGGTTCCTGCCTTGGGACGCTGGGCCTGGCAAGTGCTCTCCAGGGTCCTGTTCTGAGTGGATAAGCCTGGGGCTCCGGACTCACCTGATGGCTGTCGTCCCTTGTGACCGCGTGCTCTGTGCTGATGAGGCTGTCCCTCTGTGCCCACTCTCAGGGCCTGAACCGCACTTTGTCTTGCAGGGTACACGCAACTGTGTGACTGGTGGAGTGTGGGGGTGATCCTCTTCGAGATGCTGGTCGGGCAGCCCCCTTTCCTGGCCCCTACTCCCACGGAGACCCAGCTGAAGGTGATGGTGCTCCTTAAGGCTTTTGCCTGCTTTCCTCTGAGTGACAGTTTTAGTGACAGCTTTACTGGAACAACCATCAGATTCCCATCAGCCCTCCCGACCTCCCTTGGGACCCCCACAGACCCGGTCCCCAGTAAGGAGGTGTTCTAGGAACCTTGCTTCTTCCTGAGTCAGCCTTGCATGTGGCCAACCTAGTTTCGATTCCCAGCACCCCGTATGGTCCCCCAAGCACTGCCAGGAGTGATCCCTGACAGCAGAGCCAGGAGTAAGCCCTGAGCACCACTGGTTGCTGCCCCAGAAACCAAAGTGCAGTGGGAAGAAACCCTTTTGTATTTTTGTCATGGTGGATGCATTTTGTGTGTTTCCTGAACTTCCCTGCAGTGGTCTGTAAAGTGTCACCAACTTGAGACTAGGGCCATAAGCTAAATCAACTTGACACTGTTTCTCTGAGACTACTTTTGGGAAAGCAGAAATCCCAAACCCGGTTGTTCTTGTTTTTGGAAGGGGTGGTTGGGGACTCCTTCTGGCTCTGAGCTTGAGGACTCTTTCCATAGTACTTGGGGGCCTCACTGGGCTGTGTGTGTTGGGGGGGGCTCAGGCGTCCCTCATGCAGGCCACACGACCCACTGAGCTGTGTCTCCAGCCCCTGTGAGCTATTTCTTTATTGTTTTGTTGGGGAGTTAAGGCTATAGTTCATGGTGCTTGAGAGCCACGGCTTGAAGTTTCAAGGCCCAGGGCCACCTGCATGCGGGAGCTGTGTGTGGCCTGTGGGACTGTCACTTCAGTACCCAGCCTTGTTGGGGGTTGGGTTTGTTTATAGTGAAACTGTCAACCACAGTTAAGCGTCAAGAGCAGAGCCTGAGGGTAACAGGAGTGTGTTGCCGTAGCTGAAGAAGCAGTTCATCAGAGATCAGTAGTTCCACCTTTGCTCAGTAGTTTCTGATAGGAAAACAATCTTTCAGTCCAGATATGGTGTAGTCCCTACACTTCCGGGGCACTGCTAGAGGTGAGGGGAAACTCACATTCGATGTCTGGTGTCGCTCCAGGTGATCAATTGGGAGAACACGCTTCACATCCCGGCCCAAGCCAAGCTGAGCCCCGAGGCACGCGACCTCATCACCAAGCTGTGCTGTGCTGCCGAGCGCAGGCTGGGCAGGGCTGGGGCCGAGGACCTGAAGACGCACCCGTTCCTGGCCGCCATGGACTTCTCCAGTGACATCCGCAAGCAGCCTGCTCCCTACGTGCCCAAGATCAGCCACCCGATGGACACCTCCAACTTCGACCCGGTCGAGGAGGAAAGCCCCTGGCACGGTGCGAGCGGAGAGAGCGCGAAGGCGTGGGACACGCTCACCTCGCCACACAGCAAGCATCCCGAGCACGCCTTCTACGAGTTCACCTTCCGGAGGTTCTTTGATGACAACGGCTACCCCTTCCGGTGCCCGAAGCCCTCGGGGACAGATGCCTCTCAGGCCGAGAGCACAGAGCTGGAGAGCCCCGCCTTGGGGGAGCCGGCGGAAAGCTGCCAGCCCGTGTACGTGTGACTGCAACTGGGGCCTGCATGGCTTGGCCGGGCTCTGCAGAAGTCCCAGGCCTGCCAGAAGCCTGAGGTCAGCTTTGTTTTTAAGGTAGTCCATTCGTTTCTTCGCTTGAAAGTCTGGCCTTCACTCCCCAGCTGCCCACCAAAAAAAAAAAAGGCACCCCCAAACAAAGAAAGGCGTTCTTTGTGGAAAGGTTCCCAGCTTCAGAGATCTTCATTCCGCCACTCTGGATGATGGGAGACTGCGCATCAGCATTGTTTGGAATTGGGTTTTGAGGACCGTAACGTCATTAAAACAATATTTTTTAAAACTTTTAGTACAGTTTAGAAAGAGCACTTATTTTGTTTATAGCCGTTTTTCTTACTAAATCGTAGGGATTAACTTTGACAAATCATGCTGCTGTCATTTTCTACATTTGTATTTTATCCGTAGCACTTACTCACATTTAAGAGAAGATAAGAACTGAAGAACATGGGATAAGAAATCTCTGTGCAATAATGTAAAAAGAGAGAGAGAGAGGAGAGAGAGCGAGAGAGAGAGCGAGCGAGCGAGCGAGAGAGCACTGTTCTGATGTTATTGATACCATTTTCTTCACACGGTGGTTTCTATTCCCCCCCACATTTCAAAAATTGTGATATAATGTTAAAAGGCTGCTTTTTCTTTTTTCTTTTTGCATATTATAGTATAATAGAAGGTGTAAGCAAGATGGTTTTGTGGGTGTGATTTCAGATGTCTGGTGCATGAACAGGATTTTTTCTATTATAAAGTTACCGTATCTTGCCATTCACAGCAGGTTCTGTGAATATGTTTTTACCAAGTATCTTAAGTGAGGTGTTAGCCAGTGTGCCGATAATGTATCGTGTGGATGCCTTCTTTGCTATGACTACATCCCCTATTTTGTTAAAAAAAATGCAGATGTATAACTGAAATGAGTGTGTGTGTGTGTGTGTCTGTGTGTGTCTGTGTGTGTCTGTGTGTGTCTGTGGTGTGTCTTTGTGGGTATGATAGGATTGGAGGGGGGTTAAGGTTAAACATTTGTCATATATGAAACTTGTATACATCAAAAGGGATTCATTGAGCTATGCCAAAAACTGTTGACTTCCTCCTGGAGCTGTGCCCTCTTCACTAGTCAGTCTGCCTTAGGAATCCGTGTGCTGCAGCTGAGTGCTGGGGGCCACTGGCCAGTGTGGGCAGTGTGGCCACCTGCTGCCCTCCAGCTGCCAGCATGCTCAGGTGTTACCACCCTGAGGTCTGGTCATCTGAGGGTGCTGTCATGTTCTTTCTGTTGTGCTTTCACAAATCAATCTTAACTTGGTCTGAAAAACACTTTTTTAAAAACCTTTGTGAAAAAGCGAGGATTATTCAAAGTGACATTGGAATACGAAATTATTAAGCCATACATATTTTCTTAGACATGTAGGTGTATATATAACTACATAGATAAGCACATCAGGTATTTCTTATTTCAAATTAGTATGATTCCTATTGAAAGTGATTTATATTTGAGTAAAAAATCCAATTTTTTTGCTTTTTAAAAAGCTGATGCTTCATATTTTTTACTATGTTATTCCACATAATTTCCCTTCCATTTTTTAGTGTAATGTATCCATTATTTAGTCTGTCCCTGGACAACAACACTTCAAAGTCTATCGATGTGTAATTGGTAAGAGCGAACGGCTCCTTGTGCTGGGTTCCTTGTGTGTGAGCGGTGCGGCCGTGCGTGTCAGTTCTCACTGTCTGCTAGGAATGTCTTGTTGTCACAGCGCTCCGACAGCCTTTTATGTGATAGGTCCTTTCTCAGGAACTCAATTGAACTATTATTTATTGATATGTCATTGCCTTTGAAAAGCTTCTACTGGCACAATTTCTTATTAAAATTTTGAATCCAAATCCTGTAGTCAGTCTCCTGGTTCTCTGGGTTCTGGATCTTGCTGCGCTGTCACGTCCCACACAGGGCTTCTCTCAGGGGTTCTGAGTGCCCACAGAGTCGCCGTGGGACCCCCAAGAGGGCAAATCCCCCAGGGACCTTTCTTCTTAGAAGGGTTTGGGGAAACTGGCTCTCAGTCTCTCTCACATACTATTGAAATGTCCCTCGTTAGGATTTTTCAGGGGACATCCCAGATACGTGGTTGATCAGATGAACACTAACATTCACGAGACAGTTTTAAACAAAGGACAAGTGTAAACTTGTGTAACCCCAAACTTTGGTTAAAATAGTGATGCTAAGAAATTCAGCTAAGAAATTTGAAATTCTGGGCCAGAGAGATAGTTCAGTAGGTAGGGTTTTTGCCTTGCATGAGGCCAACCTGAGTTCAATCCCCAGCAACCATGTGGTCCGTGGAATCAGCCAGGAGTGATCCCTAAGTGCAGAGTCAAGAGTAAGCCCAGAGTATCACTGGATGCCCTCCACCCCACCAAAAAAAAACAAAAAACAAAAAACCAATTCAGAAATTCATGGTGTGGGGGGCCGGAGCGATAGGGGGGTAGATACAGTGGGTAGGGAGTTTGCCCTGCATGTGACCCACACGGGTTTGATCCCCAACACCCCATATGGTCCCCCCAAGCACCGCCAGGAGTGATTCCTGAGTGCAGAGCTAGAGCCAGGAGTAGCCCCTGAGCATCACTGGGTGTGACCCCAAAAAGTAAAAAAAAAAAATCATCAGAAATTCATGGTTTTACTTAGAGTTACTATTTTGTGACTTTGCTTCCTTTTTATTGGCACTATAGGATTTTTTGAGTCTACATGCCACCACTGCTTTTTTAGCAACTTTTTTTTTTGTACCCTTAGAGAACAAGCAGAGGGCAGAGCTGAGGGCCAGGGCCACTGCAGATGCTGGGTTTTAAGGTGCAGTTTCGTGCCTTTGTAAGGTCTGTGTTCTCTCATCCCCGCACTGCGTTAGACTTGGTTATTGCTGCTGCTTTGGCCTGCAACCCCACTTGCTCAGGGCTACCTTTTGGCTCTGTGCTCAGGGATCACTCCTAGTAGGGCTCAGGGACCACATGCAGTACCAGGGATTGACCCACTGTGTTGTTTCTGCTGGCCACTCCCCTCACCTCACTCCTGCCTCTCACCTCCAGCCACAGTTCTGTGGTCTGATTCCACACATTTTTCTCCTTTTGTTGATTTTTCTCCAGGCTTAATTTTTCTATTGAACATACGAGTGAAATGATCTAATAATTGTCTTTATTCTTTGATTTAATTAATATGGGCTCTTCCAGTTCTGTCCTTGCTGTCGCAAAAGGCAAAGAGATGTCACTTTTTTCTTACAATTGAGTAGTATCCCAGGGGGCCTGAGTACTGAGCCAGCAGGTCTGCATTACCAACTGAGTATGGCCCGGATTAAATTAGAAAAACATGTGTCCTGGTGTATATAGCTCAGTGTTAGAGCACATTTCATCCCAGCACCCCAAAGAAAAACACAAAGCAAAAATGATAGTGTAGGGCTATACGGATAATACCCTGGGTACTATTACTTAGCGTATGGCCAACCCATGTTTGATTCCCAGCATCCCATTTGGTCCCCTAAGCACCTATGGGAGTAATTTGTAAGCACTGCCAGGTATGGCTTACAAATTAAAAATGATAGTATATAAAAAGATATAAAATTCTAGGAGCCAGAGAAATACTACAATGGGTAGGGAGCACCTTTGTACAGTCAACCCAGTACAACTCCTAACACCTCATGTTGTCCTCCCAGCCCTGCCAGGAGTGACCTCTGAGCACAGCCAAGTGTGGCCCAAACCCCATCCCCCAGAAAAATTTTACTCCTTTTCTTAGTCATGGGCTGGAGCAATAGCACAGCGGTAGGGTGTTTGCCTTGCACACTGCCGATCCAACCGACCCGGGTTTGATTCCTCCGCCCCTCTCAGAGAGCTGGCAAGCTACCAAGAGTATTGAGCCTGCACAGCAAAGCCTAGCAAGCTACCTGTGATGTATTCGATATGCCAAACACAGTAACAACAAGTCTCACAATGAAGACGTTACTGGGCCTGCTCGAGCAAATTGATGAACAATGGGAGGACCGTGCTACAGTGCTTAGTCATCTCACTTACTAGCCCACAACAATAAATGATATTGTATGAATTTGTACCCTTAGAGAACATGCAAATGCTGCACAAAAAAGTCACATGTTAGCCTCCTTTAAGCATATGGTAAAAGAAAAAAGTCCACCTGTGTTCTTATCAGTCTTTGTCAACACATACACTTCTTCATGCATTGTTACTAATACATGCTATTCCACGGTGAAGTGCACTCATCAAACCAGTCCCATAGCAAAGGACATTTTCATTCCAGATTTTTTTCCTCATAAACTGTGTTGGAATAGATGGCCCTTAATAGTCATCATTTTGTGTAAGTAAAATATGTAGAATGAATTTCTAGTGATGGAATGCTAAGTCACAAGTATATTGAGAATTGCTATGTTAGTCTTTATTGAACAACAAAAAAGAACTAGTGTTTACGACTCGGAGTAGATATAAATTGTAATTTCTTTTTGGGGAGGGTGGGTATTAGAGGGATCACATCCAGTGGTGCTCAGGGCTTACTCCTGGCTCTGCATTCAGAGATCACTCCTGGAAGATCACGGGAGCATATGCAATGCCAGGGATTGAACCTGATCAGCTGTGTACAAGGTGAGCACCCCACCTACTGTGATTTTGCTTCAGATTCTACATTATAATTTATTGAATAGCATTTCATATGGCTGTGATCTACTTTGCTAGTTCCAAGTCATGATATGGGGACCTACCTACCTAGTGATGCTCAGGAGTTACTCCCAGCTCTGTGTTCCGGGATTACTTCTGGTGGTGCTTGGGGGACCATATGGGATGCCAGGGATTGAATCAGGGTTGACTCTGATTGCAAGGCTGTGTGCAACCTTTGTGAAGTGGGAGAACAAATATCGAGGATTTGTTCTCACCAGCTGATCAGATGTAGTGCACGAGAGGGGAAGAAGAGCAGAGGGCGCTTGAAGGGGCTGTTCTAGCGCAGACACTGTGGTTGGGTGTGCCCTGCTGTT